CCAAAATGATCAAGGAACTAGGTGCACCTTCCTTTCAAGGAAAGAGCACTTCGGGACTTTTTGGTTTAGCGAACAGATGATGGGGTGAGGGAGCACCCGTTAACAGTGAATTAAAAACTTCTGGAGGAAGTGGAGAGTATTTTTTTCCCCTACCAAAATACCCAACCAAGTTGACACACATTCCTGGCAGATACAAGCAAGCACTTCTTACAACCAGTAAATAATCTCGTGGGATTCGCTGCCACGGGTTGTAGAAGAAGAAGAGATTGGATTTATACCCCGCCCTTCAGTACCCAAGGCAGTCTCAGAGCGGCTTACAATCACCTTTCCCTTCCCCTCCCCACAACAGACACCCTGTGAGGTAGGCGGGGCTGAGAGAGCTCTGACAGAAACTGCTCTTTTTCAAGAACAGCCCTTATCAGAACTACGGCTTGCCCAACGTCATACAGACACGCGCGGAGGAGTGGGGAATCAAACCCGGTTCTCCCAGATTAGAGTCCGCGCAGGTAACCACTACACCAAACTGACTCTCAGAACTAGGAAGCTGGTTGCTAGGTCCCCCCTGGCTACTGGCTGGGGGTGGGCAGGGTTGCCAGATCCAGGTTGGGAAACTCCTGGAGATTTGTGGGTGAGTCTGGGGAAGACAGGGACCTCAGTTGGGGTACAATGCCAGAGAGGTCAACCTCCAAAGCATCCCACCTTCTCAGGGAATTGATCTCTGTAGTTTCGAGATGAGCTGTAATTCCAAGGGATCCCCCGGTCCCACCTGGAACCTGGCATCCCTAACTAATGTAGCTTCAAAGAGGAACTAATAACTTCATGGAGGATAATCCTGTCAATGAATATTAGCAAGAACAACTAAATGAAGCCTCCATCGTTCTTCTGAATACCAACACGTTTGGGTGGCTGTGGAGGTTAAGGGACTATCAGTCTGCTTTGCTTCTTAAAAAGGTAAAGGTTCCCTTGCTCAAAAGCCAGTCGAACCCAACTCTAGAGGTCGGTTCCAAAGCCGAAGAGCCAGCGCTGTCCAAAGAATCTTCCGTGGTCATGTGGCCAGCATGACTAAACGCCAAGGCGCACGGACGCTGTTACCTTCCCACCGAAGTGGTACCTATTTATCTACTTGTAATTTCTTGTTTTCAAACTGCTAGGTTGACAGGAGCTGGGGCCAGAGACGGGAGCCCACTCTGTCACACAGCACCAGGGTGTCAAACTGAACTACAGACCTTCCGGTCTGCAACTCAGTGTCTTAACCTCTGAGCCACAAGTACTCCTTAAATATGAAAAACTAAGAGATCTTTGGCTAGAGTCACTCAGCTAAGGAATAGTCACTAGAACCAGGGAGCATCCAACCTTTTCTTCCCCTCTCCTGAATGCAGGGGTTGTTTCGTAGAAAAAGAGCTAGGGGAACTCATTAGCATATGCCACACCCCCTGAAATCACCCAAAGTGTGTCATAAGGCCACACCCCCTGACATCACCGGAAGT